TGCTTCAATTGAGCATGTTTTACTCAAAATTCAGGATAACCCTGTAGTACGCTGCCAGGAAAAATGAAGTTTACCCCAAATTGTAGGAACCCGAACAAATATTATCGCTCCCACCATGATCATGGCCACGACATTAACGATTGCTTTTAACTCAAGAGGCAAATTGAGGACCTTATATAGCATGGCCAGTTGCAGTAATATGTAGCTGGAAGAGGCTAGGCCCTACCATCAAACTACAACAAGAGGAGAGAGAGCACCAATAGCTCCTAGGAGGAATTAAGATGATCTCCGAAAGACTAGGAGGAGGAGGTAACTCTAACTCAGCTAGGAAGACGCACGCCAGAAAGGCTAGGCACATGGATGACTTGCGAACGTTGAAGTCTCATAGGCAAGGAGACGATGAGGTCATATCTTTCTCAAGCAAAGACTTGGAGGGAATCCAGCACCCCCATGATGACTCATTGGTATTAACCATGATGGTTACCAACTATCAAGTAAGGAGGATCCTTGTGAACAGTGATAGCTCCGTCGATATCCTATTCGTAGGGGCATATGATAACCTCCATCTTGGCAGGGAGAGACTTCAACCTATAAAGACACAACTCATCGGTTTTTAAGAGAGAATGTGCACCCCCTCAGCCCCATAACTCTATCTATTATCGTGGATACAATACCAAGAAGCTCTACCATAATGGTGAATTTCTTAGTGTTGGATTCCCCATCTGCCTACAACATCATTTTAGGGCATCCCGCACTAAATAGCCGAAGAGGTCCATCCACCTATCACCTCATTCTTTATTTTTCAACCCCAAGAAAAATTAGATAAATCCGAGGAGATCAAGTTACCGTCATGGAATGCTATGTTGCCTCTATGAGGGCCAAAAAGCCTCAAAAGGCCCTACAAGTGGAAGTGCTTAACCCAAGGGATGACAGTACACTAGAGAGAAGAGAGCCAATAGAGGAGCTCACACCAGTAGTCCTGGACAAAGGTTTTATGGATAGGAGAATCTACATTAGCTCCTCACTTCTCAAAGATCGAGCCCGACAATTGGTTGATTTTCTCAAACAAAACATTAACGTCTTTGCTTACAAAGACCATGAAGGCATTTGACCCTAAAGTCGCCACCCATCGGCTCAATGTTGATCCCCGGCATAAACCTGTCTGCCAAAATCTGAGAAGTGTCACTATTGAAAGGGTGAAAGCCATGGAGAAACAATTGGGGAAACTATTAATAAATGGGTCGGTAAGAGAGGTGGCTTATCCAGTCTGGCTATCCAATATTGTGATGGTGTCCAAGNACTTTGGAATACCCCATGCCATTTTAAGTGACAATGCCAAGTAGTTTGACAACAAGCTCCTCAATGGTTTCTATGTCAACCTCCAAATCAGGTAGCCACACTCTAGTCCAGACCACCCCTAGGCAAACGGACAAGTTAGAGTCATTGTAACGACCATACTACACAATCTAAAGACTAGATTGGAAAGTGCCAAGGGATTATGGGTGGAGAAGATCCCAAGCGTGTTATGGGCCTGCCAGACAACACCAAGGAGTCCCACTGGCGAGAGTCCTTTCTCCCTTGCCTTTGGGATAGAAGTAGTCATACCTATTGAGATTAGGGTACAGTCACTGAGGGTCTGGCACCATGACTCGTCCACCAATGGAGAAGGCCTCCACGTCAACCTCGACTTGATAGAGGAGGAAAGAGATATAGCCATGAACAGGAAGACAGAATACAAGCATCGCATGGCCAAGTACTGTAACTCGAGGGCGAAGTCTTGCTCCTTCTTACCTGGGGACTTAATACTTAAGAAGGTGATTCTGGCCACTAAAGACTCATGCAAGGGAAAGTTAGGACCAAACTGGGAAAGATCATACACTGTGACAGAAATTGTGAGGCCAATCACTTACAGAATCCAAATTTCTGAAGGACGAACATCTAAAGAGGTACTACCAATAATGCGAGAGGAGCTAGAGTAATAAAACTCTAGGATTTTATTTAGTCTCAAACCTAGGCTTGTACCTTTTTTGGAATTACCAAATAAAGTTTTATGAGATTGCCACCCACCACTGTTTATTATAAGCAGTTATCAAATAAAAGTTTTGACAAATTTATTTCAAATTTGCATTTTTTTTCATTTCATAAGAAGTTTGGAAACAAAAGCCAAGCCACTTACTAAAAAGTCAGAGCACAATCTGATGCTACCTACCTACCAAAAAAAACATCAAATATCCGCAGAACTCTGACAGCTCTCGCTATTGTCGCCCTCCTTGTCGTCATTTAACTCTCCATCACTAGAGCCCTCGTAATCAACATTAGCATCTAGCTCCTTATAGGGAATGAATCCTAAGAAGTCCATGTTAGGAAAAGTAACTGAAACTTTCCCTCTAAAATCCTCATAGCCTTCAATAAAGATGCCCATAGTGCTATCNTAAGAAGTCCATGTTAGGAAAAGTAACTGAAACTTTCCCTCTAAAATCCTCATAGCCTTCAATAAAGATGCCCATAGTGCTATCATATAGATCATCCTCCCTCATCCGCTCCACCTCTAGGGAGTGAGCCTTTGCTCTAGAAGCCCTCTCATTGCCTGACTATAGTTCTACCTCAAATTTGGAAGCCTTTTTATTAGCCGACTACAACTCTACCTCAAATCTAGAAGCCCTCTCATGAGCTGTTTGCAGCTCTACCTCAACTCAGGTGGTCCTTTCATGGGCTACCTGCAACTCTGACTCTACTCTTGTACGGGCAACCTTACTTTCAGCCTCTAGCTCAGCGGAGTTCTCATAGGTCGCCAAAAGCTTAGCATTAATAGATGCAGCTCTCTCATGAACCATCGTCAACTGCTCCTCAATAGCCCGCAGAGTTTGTTTCTCCTTCATCAGAACCCTTGACAAGTGGTCATGATGAATAACCATTGAAAAAAGGCACATAGCGGCTGTTGACACCTAAAAACATGCAAAAGAGGAAAAGGTCAGTGTCATTAAAGGACATAAAGAATAAAATTTCATAGAAGCACAAATGATTACCCTGACCAGGCCCTCCATTATGGTGTTGATAACACCCTCGGTACCCTGATGGCTGACTTCTCGGATATCCAAAGGCGTCACGAACCTCGAAAGTCAATCCCTTGCTACATTTACATTCTGAAGCATGGACATAGAAAGAATAGGTGGCATCTTAACCTATGCTGGAGAGTGAACTCCTGCCTCCTCAAATGCCTCGGCTATAGAAGTAGCTAGAGAATGTACTTGGATAACTAGAACAGGCGAAGGAATCACCTGCTGGAAACCCATAGGAGCATCATCCGGCCTCACCCTCTTAGGTGGAGGAGTCATCTGCACACCCCTAGTAGAGTAAAGAGCCTCTACCCTGGATCAATTTACTATGGAACCAGAATAAAGGGAGTAAGCTTCTGAAGTTGAAAATACTATAAAAAATTCACCATAAAAGATGACATACCTCTCTTCTTAGAGGAAGAGCTGCGGGCCTAGGANCGTCTGCACAGCCCTAGTAGAGTAAAGAGCCTCCACCCTGGATCAATTTACTATGGAACCAGAATAAAGGGAGTAAGCTTCTGAAGTTGAAAATACTATAAAAAATTCACCATAAAAGATGACATACCTCTCTTCTTAGAGGAAGAGCTGCGGGCCTAGGAAGAAGGTAAATCATCTCCAGAAGGGGAACCCCCAGCTTGACCCTCTCTAGACATAAGGGTCTTATAGTCCTTTAAATGATGAGCTCTCACGGCCTAAACCTTTCCCTATTAGTTTGTCGACAACTCTGGCAAGCCTGAAAAGTATTTGAAAATATAGTGAAGACAAAAGGGACANAAGTAAATCATCTCCAGAAGGGGAACCCCCAGCTTGACCCTCTCTAGACATAAGGGTCTTATAGTCCTTTAAATGATGAGCCCTCACGGCCTAAACCTTTCCCTATTAGTCTGTCGACAACTCTGGCAAGCCTGAAAAGTATTTGAAAATATAGTGAAGACAAAAGGGACACAAAAAAATGATGAAATTTATACCCATCCTCTTGGGTGCACCCCATCCTGTGGGAACCAAAGTCTAGTCCTCTTCAGCAGCCCACTCTCCTCCTACAAAGAAAAATCGAGTCCTCTAACTATGGCAGTTGGAGTATAGTCTAGTGAGCAACTTTCCTACCCTTGAAGAAAAGTGATACCAGCCTCGATTGGGAGTGGGGTTCTCATGTAATGTATAAGCAGCAAAAAACTCCTCACATGNCTGTGGGAACCAAAGTCTAGTCCTCTTCAGCAGCCCACTATCCTCCTACAAAGAAAAATCGAGTCCTCTAACTATGGCAGTTGGAGTATAGTCTAGTGAGCAACTTTCCTACTCTTGAAGAAAAATGATACCAGCCTCGATTGGGAGTGGGGTTCTCATGTAATGTATAAGCAGCAAAAAACTCCTCACATGAGTGAGAGGCACCTTTGCCATGAATGCAGCTCCATAACGCGAGGGAATCCCAACAGCACTCTCCAGCTTTTAGGGGCTAGTCGCCTTGGCACGGGCGATGAGTGTACTAGGATGTGGCACACGGATAAAGGCATCGGGAATCTTAGACCTGCTTTTAGCACTTCTTCATAGAAAGCAAGGTCCCTAGAGGAGTCATTAGAGGCTGGCTCACCCATCTCAGCCTGGCGGTACAACACCGGAGGGGGAATGCAAAAATTGGATATAATCCTATCAATTTCAGCATCAGTAATGAGGGAGCTAGAAATAGAGCTCACCTTAGAACCATAGTCATTAGTAGCCACNTCTAGCACTTCTTCATAGAAAGCAAGGTCCCTAGAGGAGTCATTAGAGGCTGGCTCACCCATCTTAGCCTGGCAGTACAACACCGGAGGGGGAATGCAAAAATTGGATATAATCCTATCACTTTCAGCATCGGTAATGAGGGAGCTAGAAATAGAGCTCACCTTAGAACCATAGTCATTAGTAGCCACCTTACCACAATACTTGTGTAGTTGTGGATGTAAGGGAATGTTACCTCTATCATCTCTTGCTACATGCCCAATGCGTAGCTCTACACGCAGCTCTTTCCTGGTACCTAGCCAGAATGCCTGTGCCGCGACACGTATCACATATGCCCAAGCACCTGTGCGTGCTCTTGAACCTACACCTGCACCTGCCCATGTGCCAGTGCTTGTCATGGCACCCCTGCCAGTACCTGTCACCATACCCCAGGTGCTCTCGCTCGTTCCCCTGCCAGTGCCCTCGCCTGTTGCCTCAACACCCTTGTCTGCGCCTTCAACGCCCTTGTCTATTGCATCGCCTATCAAAGCACCCTCACCATCGGCATCCGCGCCTGATGTGCCTCCAGCCCAGGCATCCTCGCTCGTGCCTTCGGCACCTTACCTAAGGCTTGTTCCTTGAATCCTTGTCCACTTGACACCTCACATTTCTTTATTCTTTCTTAGACTAAGTTGGGAAAATTGATGTGAAGGGNCTTACCTAAGGCTTGTTCCTTGAATCCTTGTCCACTTGACACCTCACATTTCTTTATTCTTTCTTAGACTAAGTTGGGAAAATTGATGTGAAGGGATCCTATTTATAGCCAAAGTTTTAGATTTGGAAGCATCCTAATCAAGTAGGGAGTCTCAATAGCATTGGGATGAAGTCTCCTAATCAAAGTGGAAGGAGATATATAAAATAGTCTAGAATGAGAAATCCTAATCAAAGTGGGATATGGAGCCTTATTTAAAAGCTTAAGGTAAGAGATAAGCCCCCTAGAAGAAAGTCAAAACAATGATAAGTCTCCACCAACAAAGAGTGCCCGCCAACACAAAAATTCAAATCTCAAAGCAATATCTACAAGAACACAGTCAGTACTTAGGGAAAAGGGTAAAAAAATAGGAGACAAAATTTATCCTTGCTAATGCCCACTCCCCCAAATTCTATTATGCTCAGGACATGGGGGAAAATGATGGGCCAGACCCAGATCAGGCCCAGAATCATAGACCATACCCAGCTCAGAGGCCCAGCTTATGAATGTAGACTAAACCCACCATAGGAAGGAGGAAGATAGGTCAGATCAACCGTGTCATCTTGAGAGAGGGTCAGGTCAGTAGCCCATGGCGAGAGACTTAATCCACAATTGAAATGCGAAGAGATCTACTTGGGATGTGCACGTTACCACCTCTAATTGTCTCGTCTAGGACGTGCACGTGACATGCGAAGAGATCTCCTTGGGACGTCCACTAACCCTTCATAGTAGAGTAGATCACCCTAACCGAACCACTTAAATTATATTTTGCTTGTGTTGACTCTAATCATTTATTATTGCATATAATACTTGACAGGTGGTGCATAAACACATTTTGTGCATCATTAGTTCATATGTGTAGATCTCCTTAAGATCTACCCCGATCCACTCTTCTAACTCCTCTTATTCTTCTCTCCTCAAAATCATGTAAAAAAAAATTCTAAAATACGTCCCTAAGGTATTTATAGGGTCAAAAATTGATCAAGCGGTACGGAGCTAATCAACTTAAAATTGTGCATCCATTCAGACGAAAATCTCCATTCAAACAGCTCCTACTTACAACATCTAGCTTACACCTTAATTAGGATTGCAAGTTTGCACTTCAGTTCGAATAGTAGATTTCTGTGCAATAGGACCCAACTTTATGCCCACACTTTCAAGGCAATTTTGGCCTAGTTAAAGGTCGATTCATGAAATTTTCATTAAATACACTTTTTTAGTGCTTGAAATCTTGTTGCCAGTGCCACAAAAGTCAGCTCAATGAAACATTGGGATAAAAATTAATGGCCAAAATACTGAGGTGGTATCAACTTCTTTGCTATCCAAATTCTGTCCAAAATGCATTTAAGTCTTACAACACCTCCAAACTTCTAAGACACCTCATATCACCTATCCCAATGTTTTTGGACCTTACAGATTCAATGATAACATTATTTTGACGTAAAAAATTTAAAAAATTTACCTAACTACCCTTCATAAGATTAAACTACTCCAAAACTAAATTTGACCCGCAAGTCAATACGCGTGAAACTCAAACTTCACGACTATTTTTTCAACAACGATTCAAAATTTCTATCATCATTCTTGTCATTTTTAGAAGCACTCTTAAAATTATATTATCCATATTCAAATTAGGTATGTGGTCTTACTAAATTTCATTTGATTTGATTTATTCAAACAGCTGAATAGTTAAAGAAATTGTTATGTTCACTATTTAGTGAATAAATCCAATAAACTTTCACTAGAGAAGATTAAATGTCATAAGATATCTATCTCGATGCACGATCATTCCAAGATATACTCTCTGTAGTGGGTTAGCATTATCATTTACATACTTATAGTCAATTTTCCATTCATGTGGAAAATTGTTCAACAAACCGAATTTTTGAGTTCCAAAACTTAATTTTTTTGTCAATTTTGAGTCTAAATTAAAGTGAAACCCACTCATTGTTTTGAGAAAATGTTTATGGGTTCATGTTCTACTCTGTGAGTAGATTAACGTGGTATATTTGCTTGCTAAAATTGAATGAAAAATGAATAAGAAAATAAGCTCCAAAGTGATACACTTAAAACTTATAATTAGAATTAGGCACGTGAGGGATTTAACAAAAATTCCAAATTTCTTGGGCAAGAATTTTTAAGTGAACATATATATTTCAAGTTTGCTCTAACCCCAAGGGGTACCCCATGTTTGTGGACAAGAGAGGACCCAGATAGATTTGGGTTCAACCACACACACGCGCCCAACCCTGACTATGCTCAAGTACGAGTTTGCTCCAACCTAATATTCTAGGTAAAATTCACTTGCCAAATAGGATCTTAATTTCTTACCCGAATTTAATTTTTTTGTCCATTGGAATTCAAATTTTGCACCTAATTCAAATATGAAATTTGCACAAGTTTCATTTGAATTTGCATTAGTTTGTGAATGGCGATCTCTGGTCTCTTTTTGGTTGCATCTGATCACTGGTGACTATTCCACACAATTGCCTCTATATCTATAAATAACCTAAAATTGTTCTGCATTAAGTACTTGAACATCCAGTCATTACATTCATAATTTTGATCATTTATAGGTATCAGAGTGTACAAAAACATATTTTTGGTTCACCAAATACACAAATTGTCGTGCTTCTTCTGTGTATCCTATTATTGTATTCTGGGAGGCAGAAGCTCAAAGAGATCCATAAGTACCAGTGTGAGGATTAAATTTGTCTTAAGGATATAGTATCAAATACTAACTTTAATTATTTCAATATTCATTCTTGTTATGTAATTGGATCAGTTTTTATGTATTACTATTTGGTTGAAGTGCATGACTTGCGTCAGATACAGTAACAAGTATTATGTTAATATGATACATCCTTTTATGGATTAGCGAGAAAAGTTATAAATTCCTTGGGACAATTTGGCTCAAGGAGTTCTAAAGTTTTGCACAGTGTTCTTAGTGTACTGTGGCATCTGCTTCCAATTGAATGACTATACTGATGGAGGATAACAAGACAGATGAAACAAATAGAAATCTGCCCAACCGTAACACTAAAGATAAAATCAAAATTATAAATTATATTTTAAAATTTTAAAATTCAAATCATGCAAGCTTTGTATATGTTGTTTGACAGTGAATAGACTAAACTTTATTTCTTTATGGATCCTACAAGCCCAATGGCAAGTTTAGAATTTGTGTTTGAGTAATGCTATTGGGACTTAAATAATCGACCTAATGATATAGTTTAATGCTCCGTTTAGTACAAATGATGGAAAGTAGGAGGGATGGAAAGGAGGGATACACTTTCTATCTTCNGAGCTAATCAACTTAAAATTGTGCATCCATTCAGACGAAAATCTCCATTCAAACAGCTCCTACTTACAACATCTAGCTTACACCTTAATTAGGATTGCAAGTTTGCACTTCAGTTCGAATAGTAGATTTCTGTGCAATAGGACCCAACTTTATGCCCACACTTTCAAGGCAATTTTGGCCTAGTTAAAGGTCGATTCATGAAATTTTCATTAAATACACTTTTTTAGTGCTTGAAATCTTGTTGCCAGTGCCACAAAAATCAGCTCAATGAAACATTGGGATAAAAATTAATGGCCAAAATACTGAGGTGGTATCAACTTCTTTGCTATCCAAATTCTGTCCAAAATGCATTTAAGTCTTACAACACCTCCAAACTTCTAAGACACCTCATATCACCTATCCCAATGTTTTTGGACCTTACAGATTCAATGATAACATTATTTTGACGTAAAAAATTTAAAAAATTTACCTAACTACCCTTCATAAGATTAAACTACTCCAAAACTAAATTTGACCCGCAAGTCAATACGCGTGAAACTCAAACTTCACGACTATTTTTTCAACAACGATTCAAAATTTCTATCATCATTCTTGTCATTTTTAGAAGCACTCTTAAAATTATATTATCCATATTCAAATTAGGTATGTGGTCTTACTAAATTTCATTTGATTTGATTTATTCAAACAGCTGAATAGTTAAAGAAATTGTTATGTTCACTATTTAGTGAATAAATCCAATAAACTTTCACTAGAGAAGATTAAATGTCATAAGATATCTATCTCGATGCACGATCATTCCAAGATATACTCTCTGTAGTGGGTTAGCATTATCATTTACATACTTATAGTCAATTTTCCATTCATGTGGAAAATTGTTCAACAAACCGAATTTTTGAGTTCCAAAACTTAATTTTTTTGTCAATTTTGAGTCTAAATTAAAGTGAAACCCACTCATTGTTTTGAGAAAATGTTTATGGGTTCNGAATTTTTGAGTTCCAAAACTTAATTTTTTTGTCAATTTTGAGTCTAAATTAAAGTGAAACCCACTCATTGTTTTGAGAAAATGTTTATGGGTTCATGTTCTACTCTGTGAGTAGATTAACGTGGTATATTTGCTTGCTAAAATTGAATGAAAAATGAATAAGAAAATAAGCTCCAAAGTGATACACTTAAAACTTATAATTAGAATTAGGCACGTGAGGGATTTAACAAAAATTCCAAATTTCTTGGGCAAGAATTTTTAAGTGAACATATATATTTCAAGTTTGCTCTAACCCCAAGGGGTACCCCATGTTTGTGGACAAGAGAGGACCCAGATAGATTTGGGTTCAACCACACACACGCGCCCAACCCTGACTATGCTCAAGTACGAGTTTGCTCCAACCTAATATTCTGGGTAAAATTCACTTGCCAAATAGGATCTTAATTTCTTACCCGAATTTAATTTTTTTGTCCATTGGAATTCAAATTTTGCACCTAATTCAAATATGAAATTTGCACAAGTTTCATTTGAATTTGCGTTAGTTTGTGAATGGCGATCTCTGGTCTCTTTTTGGTTGCATCTGATCACTGGTGACTATTCCACAC